ACTAGTAAATACGACTACGAGGTACTTGAACTTCTTCATCTGCTCCACTGCCTCTCTGCTAATCTTATGAGAGCAACGGACAGGAGAACGAGAAACCACTACGCGCTTTTCGTTTTGGAAACGTTCTACGAATGCCGGCCTCGTTGCCCTCAGGTGCGAACACTTCCAGAGAACACTACAGATCAGTTTCAGAAGATGCCAATAAAACAAGGTCGTCAATAAACAGCAACCTTCTCGTCTCCACATCTCCTTCACCAATACACTCATCGCCTTCGCTGCTCCTGATTATTCTACCAATGTACAACACGAACAGGAGAGGGGCCAGGCCACGGCCTTGGCGGAGACCAGTGCCAACGTTGAAAGGCTTCGACTTAACGTCATTTACTGTGACGCATCACTTGCTTTTTGAATACAGTGATTGGATGACCCTTTGCAGCTGGTCATCTATCCCGTACGCTCACAGGTATGACCACAGGCTGTTACGTGGGGATCTGGTCATAGCTTTTTCTAGGTCAACAAAGCACATGTACACGGGATTGGAGAGTTTCCACGATTTCTCAACAATCTGGCGCAGGGCATATATATGGTCAAATGTGCTTCGAACGGTTTGGAAGCCACGCTGCTCTCCTTTTATCTTGGAGTCATTTATTCCGCGGCCCCTCCTTTGTAGCACGGTTGCGCAGACTTTATCTGGGAGACTCGATAACATGATCCCCCGATATTTGGAGCAATCTCTGTGGTCTCCCTTTCTGAATAGCGGCATAACATCCGTTCTACAGTCCGCTGGTGTCTTCCTCGTAGTCATTAAGGTTTAATAGACACGTGAAATCCGGCGCATGCCTTGTTCGCCTAATGCTTTGCGCATTTCAGGGCGGATTTCGTCAATTCCAGCAGCTTTTCCATTTTTCAAGCTTTTCACAGCTTCTGTAATTTCTTCTACGGTGATAGTAATATCCGTTTCCTGCTCTTCTAGAGGTGTCTTTCTGCAGTTGCGCGGGGTGAAGGAGTTTCTCAAAGTACACTCTCCATCGCCGAAAAATTTCCTCATCTTTGGTAAGAGGGTTCGAGACCTGTCGTTTAAGACTGTGAGACTGCCCTTCTTTTCACCTCAGAGCCTGGTCTGCCAGAATACCTTGTTTGCCGTACCTACGACACCTCACCGAACTTCTCCCAGGAATCAGCTTAGGCATTCACCACAGCTTTGGCTGCCGCCTTGCGTGCTTAGATATATCGCGCGGGAGTAGAAGGCTCTTTATTTCCAAACCATTTCTTGAATGCAGCCTCGTTCAATACTAGCTTATTTCATATAAATAATGACTAATTTTGTTGTGATTCAATTTCCGGGGAGTCAATAGCACGAAATTTTTCGTAATTTTAAAGTAAATATAAATGTTTTATAACAAATAATAATTATAAGAGACTTAGCCAAACAGTATTTAAAAATGAGAAAGCAATAAAACAACTAAAAATAATTCTATATTTTCCATGATGCCC